TCAAATACATAAGTATTGGGATAGAAAACAGAGGAAATATAGACAAGTTGAAATCAGTCACGATAGAGTGATTGGTTTTTGTTTTCAAAACTTCCTTTTAAATTGTTGTATTTATCATTGTGACATTCTTTATGTTTTCTCCAGGAAACACTGACTGGAAAGTATGGGGAAGACTCTAAGCTTATCTATGACCTGAAGGATCAGGGTGGGGAGCTGCTGTCCCTTCGCTATGACCTCACTGTATCTTTCTGAATATGGATTCTTGACCCTTTGGAGGGCTGGCCCTCCCTGGGCTGGGGCCATTTCTAGCCTCAGGTTTGGGGACAGCCAGACACAGGTGGGATCAAATATGATGCCTTTGGCAATCAGGAGAATTATTTTCTAAACCATGAGGACGACTTTGGCTAAACAGAGCTTAGCCTTAGAAGTCTTCTGAAGTCTGAGGAAGACCTCAGCTTTATGTCTAGGCCCAGTTCCAACTCTACCAACAATTTCTCTGATTTCAGAATACCTCTCCCCTGCCCCATCCAGTGGACAGAGTTTTTAATTGACCAACAGCACATTTCCTTTATCTCCAAGCTATGTCAGAGACTCCTCCGCTTAGAGATCCCACATGGGGCACTTTTTCTGCTCCATGGCCGATCTGCTCAGCCCCCTGCTGTGCATAGCACAGGGGAAACACTACCAAAGTGAAAGAAGCCTTACTCTTTTTTGAGCCTTCCACTGCCCCTTGCGTTAACAAAGTTGATTTTTTCTGATGTTCAGAAATGCTATTAATCTTACTGGTGGTGGTTTTACCCACCAGGGAGAGACTAGATCCCAGTTTCTGTTGATGATGATAATCAACTTCCAGACTGTGATAGGAGGGGCTTTCTCCTTAACTCTTTGTCATCAGGTTCCTTTTGCTCGGTATTTGGCAATGAATAAACTTACCAACATTAAACGCTACCACATAGCAAAAGTATATCGGCGGGATAACCCAGCCATGACTCGCGGCCGATATCGGGAATTCTACCAGTGTGTGAGTATGTGGGGCATAGTGGGTAACTTGATGCGCCCTCAAGCTAGTAGAATCTACTGAGTACTCATGGAGTCCTGAGCAAACTGGATGCCCCAGATAATGCTGACTCTTAGGTTTCTTAAGGATCTTCATGTAGATTTAACAAAGGCCCTGGGGGTGGGTGTAGGAGAGGAAGACAGGGATTATTCTCCCTGTTTTATATATGAGTAAACTAGAGACTCAGCAAGATTAGAAATCATAGGGATAAGAAAGGCAAAGTCAGGAGTAGAACTCTAGGTCCAGTGCTCTTCATATTAAATCACAGTGACAGGATCACAGCAAAGGATGAGGAATATTGGATTTGAGGTACCAAATCATCCAGACTGGTGGGCAGAGCTTCTGAATAGAGAAAAATGGCAAAGAACCAAGGCTTTCTGGTCACCCCCACAGTGGTTTGAGGAAATAAGGAAAAGTAAATGAGTAAGGTAATGAAGGAATAGCCCCATGGATGGGAAGGAAAGCAGGACTCATATAAGAGCCCCCAAGAATGCTGAGGTTTTCCTCTGGACTGATGAGGAAGGTCTGTGCATGAGTGCAAACTGGCCTTCACAGAGAGCAGAGCTCCTAGGAGTGGCCCCGTTAAGAAAGTTAAACCCCTGAGACCCCTAACTATCCCTCTCCCTGCAGGATTTTGACATTGCTGGGCAATTCGACCCCATGATCCCTGACGCAGAATGCCTGAAGATCGTGTGTGAGATCCTGAGTTCACTTCAGATAGGTGACTTCCTAGTCAAGGTCAGAGCTGAACAAGGCTGGGAGGGCAAAAGTTGGGTCTGGCTTCTCACAGGAGAAGGTCTTTACACAAGGGATCAGTAGCCCAAGTGACCAAGGTTACTGAGGGTCGTGTAGAGATTCTCTCCTTGCTACACCTTTTGTCCCTGCAGGTAAATGATCGGCGCATCCTAGATGGGATGTTTGCTGTCTGTGGGGTTCCTGATAGCAAGTTCCGTACCATCTGCTCCTCAGTGGACAAGCTGGACAAGGTAACATCCCAAACACCTGCCCCTTTTTTCTCCAGATCCCACCCTGCCTTGAGAAATGGAAAACAAGATAAGGACAGAGAGGTGGCTACCTCCATGCCCACCAAGGGAAGGTTAACTCAAGGATGTAGGTTGAAGGGCATCTTCTACTCTAAGACAAGGAGGGCCCACACTTGTCCTGTGGTAGGTAACGTGCCCAAAGGTCCCTGACTCAAATCTGTCTGCTTAGGTGCCCTGGGAGGAAGTAAAGAATGAGATGGTAGAAGAGAAGGGTCTTGCACCTGAAGTGGCTGACCGCATTGGGAACTACGTCCAGCAGCATGGTAACAAACCCTGCCTCTTCAGCAGCCATACCACTGACCTAAAGCCAAACTCTTCTCTCTGTGTATATGTGGGGGGCAGGGAGGGAGAGAAAGAGAACGAATTACACATATATATGTGCAGTCCAGGCTAAAAGGTAAAGCCCCTACCTTTTCCTTCCTGTCAGTCTGGCTCACAAGTCTGTCTCTCCAGGTGAAGTATCTCTGGTGGAACAACTGCTCCAGGATCCTAAACTGTCCCAAAGCAAGCAGGCCTTGGAGGGCCTGGGAGACCTGAACCTTCTGTTTGAGTATCTAACCCTGTTTGGCATTGCTGACAAGGTGAGTCAGGTTGGGAATGGAAGCCTTAGCTGAGCTCTGGGGCTTCTGATGCTCAGTCCTCATCTGGTACTGAACATGTTCTCGTCCCCACAGATCTCCTTCAACCTGAGCCTTGCTCGAGGGCTGGACTACTATACTGGGGTGATCTATGAGGCAGTGCTGCTACAGACCCCAGCCCAGCCAGGGGAAGAGCCCCTGAGTGTGGGCAGTGTGGCCGCTGGAGGGCGCTATGATGGGCTGGTGGGTATGTTCGACCCCAAAGGGCGCAAGGTGCCATGCGTGGGGCTCAGCATTGGAGTGGAGCGGATCTTTTCCATCGTGGAGCAAAGGTTGGAGGTAAGTGGATAAAAGACAGTCTGGGCAGGTGGTGACACCCAAGCTATCTTTGATCTCCAAGGGGGCAAATGGTGCTTTTTTGAGGAAGTAGCATCTTTGAAGAGAAATGGAGAAAAGATGATCGCTGACCTTCACAGACCCCAACCCCATTATAGGCCAACTTTATGGATATTTGATTATTATTTTTTCACAAAATCCCTTGCTCTGGGTCCCTACTTTCCTCAGAGCTGTCAGGAGTCTAGGCTGGTATATCCAGCGACCCAGATCTTCCTCACAATACAGAATACTTAATATTCTACTACTCTTTGCCAGGCACTGTGCTCAGTACTTTTCATGCTTTTTCTAATAAAATTCTTTCAACGGCCCGCTGAGAGTAGCTACTTTTATTATTTAAATTTTTCAGATGAAGAATATAAAGAATTTATATGTCTTGACTCTCTAGCTCATGGAGTAACACCAGGGAAGCCCCTCATAGCCTCAAGCACTCCTTTGCTTGTTCTTAACTGGCTGCTTGCATTTCATCCCCTGGGAATGCTCTGGCAGTAACCTTACTGCTGCTCCATCCTTTTCTCAACAGTGGAAACCACCCATGTTTCCCAGTTGAAGTCACTGTTCCAGTAGGCATCTTATATTGTAAAACTATGAAAATAGTTTTCCAGAAAAACACAAGGGGCAGCAGCAGCATTCTCCTTTCCTCCTATCCACACATATCCTGGGTTGTGCCCTATGGCTGAAGGGTAAAAGGCACAGTCTCTTGACTGCCCAGATGGTTAAGTGGGAACTAGAATTGCCAGGGGTGATTGGATTGCCTGAAGGGCTCACAGTATCACTTTTGTGTGAATGTTCTTATGGGCCCTTAAGGTACTAGATGGAGATGAGCGAGAAGTTACTGTACATAAGCTACCTTTGCCTTTAGCGTAGGTTATTTATTCTGTCAAGTCACATGTACAAGCCAGTTAGTTCAGTTCTTATATCTTCTAAAAGCTACCTTATGCCCAGTTGCTAGATGAAAAGACTGGACCCCTGCCCTGGTAGAGCTCACAAAGTTGGGCCTGGTCTCAGAAGCCTGACAAGGGCCTGCTCTGTGTGCTCCTCAAAGTTGTTGTAAAGGGTAGCCCAGCTCTTTGACTCTTACCTACACCTTCCCTAGGCCTTGGAGGAGAAGGTACGGACCACAGAGACACAGGTGCTTGTGGCATCTGCACAGAAGAAGCTGCTGGAGGAGAGACTGAAGCTCGTCGCAGAGCTGTGGGATGCTGGAATCAAGGTATAAGAAGCAAGCCCCAGGGTGGCAGTAAACCTGGGAGTGCTGGCTATAGACTAAATAAAAGCTCACTCATAGTGACCCTGCTATTCTGTGATTTCTTGGGGTGGAGCTAAGAGCAAGGTGACGGGTTGGGCACCCTGGAAGTTGTCCCTAAGGACAGCAGAAGCCAGCCTTCATTTTCTGCCTGGGTCCCCTGCAGGCAGAGCTGCTCTACAAAAAGAATCCGAAATTACTGAACCAGTTGCAATACTGTGAAGAGGCAGGCATCCCACTGGTGGCTATCATTGGTGAGCAGGAGCTCAAGGATGGGGTCATCAAGCTCCGTTCAGTGGCCAGCAGGGAAGAGGTAAGTAGGCAGGCAGGAAGAATAAGATAGGGAATGTATGCCATTTTGATAGGCCAATGCCCATTCAAGACCTGAGCAAAAGCCTGGCATTCATATTCGCACCCACTTATAAAGGACTTAAGGGCTTAACCTGTTACTACGGTCATGGTAGGGTAAGCTCTCCACCCCCACATACACCCTGTGTCTCTGGCTTCCCCTAACAAGCTGTCTACTCTGAGGTGTTTGATTGAGTTCCTGCTCCTAGCTATTTCCAGCCTGATGCCTAGAGGAAAGAGGGCCCTCAGGGAACAATGGGGTAAAAGACACTCAGACCACTTTCTCCCTCATCCTGGCCAGGTGGACGTCCGAAGAGAAGACCTCGTGGAGGAAATCAAAAGGAGGACAAGCCCGTCCCTTTGCATCTGCTGAACTGAGCAAACTATCAGAGGACAGTGGGACTGGCACTATTTAAGGCTCAGACAAAACTCTGCATATGTACATCAACAGCTTTGCACACTTCTGTTCCAGCAGGAAGACCTGAAGAGTGGTCAGAACAGAGACATTATTATTATTTTATTGGTAATCACAGACAAAGATGGCCAGGTACTAGGCCATTTTCTATCAGAGGCCCTAGGGGCTTGGTCCAGTCTGGCTCGTGGGCAACAAGGACCCAGCCTGAGATGGCCTCCTTTGCAGGACCCTACACCAGGTGGAGAGACTGCCCCCGCAACCAGTCGCCAAAGGTCCAATAAAATGCCTCAACCACTGGAGCCTGCCTGTGTTGCTATTGCTTAGCCCTGCCTTCTATCAGAGCCTGACCACTTTAGCGGTGGAAGATGGGAGAAAGACTTACAGTAGGCCCCATGGACTCTGCCTAGGGTGAAGGGTGCCGCCAAGTTTCTGGCCTCCAGCGCTTATCCTTGCCGGTTTGCCAGCTGTTTCTTAGGAGCTGGGGCTGCCCACAAACTGACCCGCCGGGCTTTCTAGATTTCACCTGAGGGTCAGAGGGTCCCGCGGCGCACGTGCGGCGGATACTCCCACCCCCTTGGGGGGCGGGGTCGTGTTCAAAGCCAATGAGAGCTTGGGGGGGTGGAGGGGTAGGGAAGCTTCCAGAGGCCGATAGGGAGGAGGTTATATAGAGGGCACCGGCGGACCAACGGGAGAGCCATGCAGACCAAGCGGGAGTGTGAGGTAGGTGGTTGGCAACGAGGGGGTGGACGAGCCCCACCTGCGCAGGGAATGGGGGCGCCTGGGGCCGCAGTACGACAGGCGAGGTGGGGGCGGCGATCCGCCATTCCAATCTGCCCTTTCCCCCTCAGCTGTGGTGTGAGAGGGTGAATCCAGAGAACAAGGCGGCGCTGGAGGCGTGGGTCAGGGAGACAGGCATCCGCCTGGTGCAAGTGAACGGGCAGAGGAAGTATGGCGGGCCACCCCCAGGTACGCTAGTCCCAGCCCTACGCCTGTCCGGTTACGCCGGCCTCGACGGCCCTGAGAAACCCCTTTGGGGGCGGTGCCTATCCCGAGGCTCCACAGTCAAACTCTTAACTACCCATTACCCCCTCCCCCAGCAAACGTGGAAACGTCTTGTTTTTGGCTTTCCACCCACCCTCTTTGAGGAACAGAGCCAGCCTTAAGGTGCACTTACAATGTGCCTGCCTCGTTTATGCCAATAACCCGGGGTACGGGCGTTGTACCCATTTCACAGACTAGTACTCACATGGTCCCTCCCGCGCCGGGACCCTGGGCTCCGAACCTGGTCGGTCCCGTTGGATGACGGTGCCCATCCCTACCCCCTTCCCCCAGGCTGGGTGGGCAGCCCGCCGCCGCCCGGGTCGGAGGTATTTATCGGGCGGCTGCCCCAGGATGTGTACGAGCACCAGCTGATCCCACTGTTCCAGCGTGTGGGCCGCCTTTACGAGTTCCGCCTGATGATGACCTTCAGCGGCCTGAATCGTGGCTTCGCCTACGCCCGCTACAGCTCGCGACGCGGCGCCCAGGCCGCCATCGCCACACTGCACAACCACCTGCTGCGGCCCTCCTGCCCGCTGCTCGTATGCCGCAGCACCGAGAAGTGCGAGCTGAGCGTGGACGGGCTGCCGCCGGCCCTGAGTCGCCGCGCGCTACTGCTCGCACTGCAGCCTCTCGGTCCCGGCCTGCAGGAGGCGCTGCTGCTGCCCAGCCCCGGGCCCGCGCTCGCGCAGATCGCGCTGCTCAAGTTCAGCTCGCATCGTGCTGCCGCCATGGCCAAAAAGGCCCTGATGGAAGGTAGGGGTGAAGGCTGCGGGAGTAAGCTGGTCGGGGCAAACGTGTTCGGCCAGGCACTTTACCTGAACAGTCAGCACGGCCGGCCGGTAAAGTCTCAAGATCTTAGGGTCACGAATGCCTGAATTTGTGACCTTATACTATTTGACCTCAGATTTTAAAATTTCCAGTGGTACTACCACGTACCTAAATTTAACGCTTCTCAGGCATTATCTCCTGACTGAATCCTCAACATTCCAATGAAAATAACACAGAGCTCCCTCTTTAGAGATGAGATTGTTTTAAGAGAAGGGGACTTGCCCAAGGCAGTCCAACTGAGAATGTGAGAATTATAGGAGGCATTTAGCACATTCGTTGATTCATAGCAAGTATTCACAGTAAAGGTTAGCTATTATATGGTTATGAGGTAGACAAAGCCTGCATCAACCAGTATTCCTGCAAGAGAATTTAGAAGGTAGCAGTTATTACACTCCCATTACAAATACAAGGAAGCCTTAAGTTTTTCATTTGCTAGAGCGCACCACCAGGAAATGGGGAGGCTAGAAATTAAAACAGGCCTGGGCCACTCCTAAGGGCACTTGGGCCCAGGGCTAAAACTTGTCCTGTGTCTGCCTTTTTCCTGCAGGGCAGTCACGCCTCTGTGGAGAGCAGGTAACCGTGGAGTGGCTCAAGCCGGACCTGAAGCAGCGACTCCGCCAGTTTGTGGGTCCCTCCCTGAGGTGCCCACAGCCAGAGGGCAGACGATTGACCCTGGCCAGGGACAAGTTAGAGTCCCAAGGGGCTCGGGCTGCCCTGCAGCTACTGTGCCAACAGATGAAGCTGGGTAGCCCAGTGTTCCTTACCAAGTGCTTAGGCACAGGTCCTGCTGGCTGGCACCACTTCTGGTACCAAGTGGTGATCCCTGGGCATCCAGTGCCCTTCAGTGGCCTCATCTGGGTTGTGCTGTCTTCTGATGGGCAGGATGGGCATGAGGTGGCCAAGGATGCTGTGTCTGCACGGCTGCTGGAGGCACTGAGTGAGTCTGGGGCCAGCCTCCTGTGGTCTGCTGGGGCTGAGGCAGGTACCATGGTTAAGCAGTGACCCTATCCTCTCCACAGGCAGCCTGACTAAGTAGGCAGAGCCTATGTCAGTCCCCAACCCAGCAAGCCTGAGCAGCCACCATCTGATCCCAAAAGAGGGAGGAGCATGGGCCCTACCCTAAGCCTGACACAGCTTCCCAGTTGGGGCAGGGCCCCAGCACACCAGGGGGCAGCTCAGGTTTGACTAGGTTGTGGTGAAGGACCTTGCCCTCCTCCCAGCCCAGGGTCTCACATGACCCCTTGGTCTTCTTGGCTGTTGTCTGGTGTGCGTGCGCGCGCACGCACACACACACACACACACACACACACACACACTCTCCTCCCACAGCTTAGCATGAATCTACTGCTATTTTTCTTAATTTGTTTTTGTTGGTTTTTATTTGGGGGCCGGCTGAGCCAAAGGGTCAGAAATCTGCCTTTTGTCCCCACCACTTGGCATTCTGGTTTTGGTATATGTGTATTGTTCATTTTTTCTATGCTGGTTGTATTTATATTAAACCCCTGGTTAGTGTATACCTGTGTCCGTGCTGTCTTGCCCCAGCTGGGGGCTTCCACGAGGAGAGTGAGCAGCTCTACTTCCCCACATTGGTGCCCTGAGTCCTGAGCCTCTGTCTCCCAATCTCCTTGCACTGCACAATAGGGTACGATAAATTCGTAGCCTCTCCGGGAATCCAGCCCAGGAAGCATAACTCTTGCCCAGAGGACCTGCCTTGAGATTTAGCTCATTCCCTCAGTCACTGTCATCTTCACTCTCCTCTTCCTCCCTCTCTTCTCCCTCCTCCCTCAGTCCTGCAAAGAAGTCATCAGTGCTCCAGGCCTTGCTGCTCAGCGCCCGCAGCGGTCTTCCTTTTTTTTTGCGCCGACGGTAGTCATCTACCACCACAGACCGCAGCTGGGCCATGTCCCAAAACTTGAGGCGTTGGTCATGGCCACTGCTAGCCAGGAAGCGGCCACAGTGGGAGAGGGCCAGCTCCTCCACAGGCTCTCCAGCATGCTGTCCCACGCTGCCCACCACTCGGTTCGGCAGGATATTCACAGCCCTGGGCAGAGAAGAGTGTTGAGTATTGGCTGGTTTAGGCTGCCTTTCCTATGACCTGAGGGTCTGGCTTCTCTCACCTGATGACTCCATCAGTGGAGCCAGTGCATAGCAGACTGTCAGTGACTGGAACCATGCAGTCGATGGACTCGGCTCTCAGTGCGAAGCGGTCACTTGTGGCCCCAAAGCCATTCCAGTTGAAGAGGTAGATGGTACCCTCACTGGAGCCACAAACCACCTTCTTCCCACACTGCAGGGAAATAGAGCAAATCATGTTTGTAGAACCACATTAGACCAAATCCCTAGCACACATACATCCCACCATACCCAGCTGTACTTTCATGATCGTGACAGAGGTCAGGTCTCCAGACTGAGGTTCTGAAAGCAGCTCAAACCGGCGTCGCTTAATATTGAAGACACCAAGACAGCCATCCCCACTGCAAAAAGAGCAGCACAGCACACTTGGCCAGAGGCTCTCATTGAGGGAGACATACAACAGGAAAAGGAGGGGCGGTGGCTTTGAGGCAGTACCTGGCTGTCAGCAGCAGCTTCTTGACTGAGTCCAGAGCCATGTCAGCAATGTACTCCTCATGCTGCCGCATATCCATTAAGGGGCCTTCCTTCCGCTGGTCCCAGAGCCGGATGCCACCTGTGTCATCCCCAGTGGCCAGAACATTCTCATCCACCAGCAACAGACTGTTGATGGGGGCACTAGAGAAACAGATGCAGCAGTTCTTGGAGCATCTATGTCCCAGTAGGGAGCTATAAGTCCTTATCCCTCACTTCAATGCACAATTGGCTTCCCTTACCCATGAGCCTTGGAAATGCGTCTTTCTAGTCGGCCTTGCTCCACATCTAGAACATGAATGGCTTTGTCCTTGGACACAGTAATAAGTTCTGAGGAAAAAGGTGCCCAGATCATAGTGCAGTTTACTGCACCCTTCCCACCACCACACTGCTGGCTGCCCTCCATACTCACTCTGCCCATCTTCAGAGAAGACCACAGCACGGCAGGATTTGAGGTGGTGACCTGAGGACCAGAGCTCCTTGGTTTCCCCCTCTTGGCAGGAATAGGAAAAGCTGGAGAGAGGTGGAGGAAAGTGAATGACCCCAGATCCCGCCTGGGATGCATAGAGTATAAAGACCAACTAGTCACCCTTCCACCTACCTAGGAGTTCCCGCCTGTACACCTCTGAGCCTGAGGAGCTTACCATCACATTTTTCCATTTTCAGTGAGCTTCAAATGTTAGGTCTTTTTCTCATTTGAAACACATTAAAAGTACATTAGCTTGGGACTTCTCTGTAACATCTGCCCACCCCTCTTCATCATCATTGAAAGCCCCAGCCTGGGGAAAGATTAGGTCTGGACCACTGTGGAGGCCCAGAAATATCTGTTAATGACAGAAGAACAACCCTAGAAGTTGGAAATGTAAAGATTAGTAAGACAAGATTCTTGCACTCCATGTCTGCAGGAGCTAGAGAAAGCTACAATTAATTATGGCACATTGACCACATGCTGAAAAGGAGGTAGGATCAAAATGGAGGTGAAGCAGAGAGGCAACATGTAAGCTTGGCTTTGAGGCAAGCACCTGTTCAGAGTATCCCCAGTGCCCTTGTCAGAAGAGATCCCTAAAAAAAACTAAATGAATTAGTGCTTAATTGCCAGTGCGTTCCAAGTGGTCAGAACTGGGTCTATGTATTGTTTCTTCTATCCCAGTGCCTAGCATGAAAAAGCCACCTAATAAACATTCACATTTTTTAGTGGATGAGGCAAGCGTTCAAATAATTACAAAAACCGACATAAGATTACAAACCATTATGAAGTTCACAAGAGAAAGGAATCTGTTGCCAAAGTATTACCTAATAGGTAATCAGTCTGAGGCATGGAGGAATAGTGAAGAGATGCTGAGAACTCAGGGAGAGTAGGTACAAGGGAGGGGAAAGGAGTTTTCCAGGCTGAAGGAATAACATGCAAAGGAGATGAGGCTTCAAGATAACATTATAAAAGTAAGGATAAATGAACACAGAAAACACGGGAGAGCGACCAAAGGCCAGCCTGAGGGTCAAGGCCCTGAATGCCAGATTAGGGAGTTTGGACTTAATGCTAAAAGCAAAAGTAAACCAAGATTTTAGTCAAGGAAGCGAAATGGTTGGATTTGTGTTTTCAAAAGATCAATTAAAGTAGGCAAAGAGCAAAAGCAGGGACTCCGCTGGGCCTCTTGCAGGCTCAGTATAATAATCTGGCGGTAAACAGTGCCCTGAAAGCCTTCTTGTCCTGCTGCTTGCTTACTATATCTGGGCTCTGTCAAGACATTACAGTCACTTTAATCTTTAAGTTCTTTCAAGAGATTTGTGTGGTAACTTATTTAAAGCCGAATGTTAATGAACGAATCGGACCAGATGATTCTTGCAAAATTTGTCTCCCGGCAACTCTCCTCTCTCCTCCCAGCTTCATCTCTGGAGAGTTTCCAGACCCAGCAGTCCCCGCACCCACGACGCCCCCAGCCCTGCCGTGCACTTACACGAACACGTCCCCGTCCACGTCCCCCGCCGCCAATAGGTCGCGGGCCGGATGGAACGCCAGCCCACTGGCCGGAGCTTCCAAAACGATGTCTTCCGGGGTGTCACGGATCCGGGCCGCGACTTCGGTGGAGTCGGGGTCGCCCTCGTCGCTCCTATCCCCCGCGAGCCTCTCTTCACACGTGCGGTCCATGCACGGAAAGATTGCGAGCCGCGCAGCAGTCGAGCGGAGAGGCCAGGAACCAATCACCCGGCAAAAGTAGTGGCTCATTCACCGCTTCCTCATTGAAGGGGCGGGCCCGGAAGTGGCGCCGGGGCGTTCCTAACCCGGAAAAGGCGGCCGCCTGCAGCTAATGTGGGTGGAGCTGACCCTAGTGGCCTGGCCCCCCTGGTGGGTTATTTCCACGTGTTTGGCCAATTAGACTGCACCGCGGTGTTTGGCCAATTAGACTGCACGATTATCAATCCCCTTTATTTACTTCAGGGTAAAGCTGAGAACTGCGTTTAAGTCCTTTCCCTTCATCTTGGCTCATGCTGAGAGTTTGGTACAACATCCTTGAAAATCTAAGAAACATCCACACCTATAGAGAATTTTTGAGTTTAGTTGAGCCAAACATGACACATGTTGGGGAACAAGATCTCAAATGTTCCGGACAGTAACAGTTTTGCAGCTTTTATACATTTGAAATTAAGTAGGGAATATAAGGAAGATTACATGAAGGTGGAAGGTGAGGTTTGGATTATAGGATAGTTAACAAGATTATAGGCTCTCTTAAGGGTGGTTATTTCAAAGGTGTGTTAACCTAGATGTGCAAACAATGGGCATGGCTTCTTTAAGGCAAAGATAAGCCTTTTACTAAAATGTGATATGACTGGGGCCTACCTATCATGACCTGCCCAGTTAGGAATTGATGATTAGATCATCCTGAGGTTACTTTCCACAGAACTAGTAAGAACTTAATGCACTTGGAGTTGGGAGAGGACACCACATGTTCATGGCTTGGTGAAACCCAGGACTATGACAAGTGTCAGCCAGGTTGGCCAGGAAGCAGCAAAAGCCCACGCCACAAGAATTTCACATGAGGGGTGGTGGACAGCAGGCAGCCCACGCACACACACACTTAAGCTGCTGCCGTCCATGCTCAACACCTTCATGGCTGAAGGAACAGCATGTGGACCGTTCCTATAATGAGGCTGCAGACCTTCAGTGGGCCAGATCAGCAAGGCTCAGTGCTGGCAAGCAGTTGCTGATGAGGAATATGGGCACAACAGTTGATGTTTTAGACATTCCAGTTAAAAAAGGTTCCATAAAGATAGGAGCACTGTGTAGTGGGGCCGATGAGGAACAGGAGTGCCTGTGGCTGAAGAGAATTCACATGGCTGTGGTCTTAAGCCTTCTACGACATCTTACCTACTGATGCCCAACCCCTTTAATGAGAGGTGAAATAAGTGAGGTTAGGGACCTCAGAGAGGCTCTTTTTCCTCTGTGTGACTGGAAAAGTTGCTGTATGGTGCTGGGAGTCCTTGTCACTATATGGCCAACCAGAGGGTCTTGGTCATCTTCACAATTGATGGTACTTACAGAAACTGATTTTAAACCGCAGTCAACCCCCAGGTCTTGATCTTAGTGAACCTCTGGGTATCACCATCTGAGCCAGGTCTCTGTGACCTTTTTCTTAACTGGGACCACTGCCTCTAACCATGAAACCTAGGTATCATTTACAGGGCCCAATTTCAGCCTCGTAGGTGCCATTCCCAAAGCTGGCTTCCTCAGGAAGCCCTTGACCTATCAAGGTGAAAGTGACCAAAGGCAATGGCTAAGGAGGCCTTCTAGCTTTCCTTGGATCTGGTGAGGCCACACATCTTAGGCTCAGAATAGGCAGTGCCAGCCAGGGATCCAGCCAGAAAGAAGTGGTGACCTTTATTGATGAGTACCAGACCAAAGTACTGGAAATGAACAAAGAGGAGGAAAGGAGCAGGGATGGAGTGATTCGAAGGCTAAGGAGCCCACCTTGGGCCATAGTAAAACTTTTCAGGGTGTTGAAGGACACACCAAAACCTTCTGGCCTAGGACAGGGATTCCCCCAAGGCACTTCCCCAAGGTTATCCCTTCAGCCAGGGAGGGAAGCAGCGATATGAGCTTGGAATTACTAAAGCTCCCAGGAGAGCATAAATTCATAAAAAGTTTTTGTCCTTACAAGTGATTCTCATCAGATGCTATCACCTAGCACAACTTTGGGATTAGGCTAGCAGACCACTGGGCGTGCTATCACCTAGCACCCAGTCGTGCACAACTTTGGGATTAGGCTAGCAGACCACTGGGCTGACCCTAATTTCCAGAGAATCTCTGCCCTAAAAGTGGCCTCCAAGTGGACCTGGATTTGAGACCAATCGTTTTTACGTTCCTCTAACCATCTCTTGCCCATCAGTAAAGGTCACTCCCTTCTTCACTAGGCACCCTGGCTACTCAACATCTTTACTGTCTATGAATCTAGAACCACAGCTCAGGAAAGAACTGAGCTGGCACTCTACATATGACTTTATACAATCAGTAGAATTAATAGCCCTCATGGGGCATCAAGGACCCTGGAGGGAATATGCTCGACACAGAGAAGACAGCAGAGTTAATCAATTTTAATGGAACCAAATATTATACAGTATTATTTTATATACAGTCATTAAAAAAAAAACAACTTTCAACCTTTTTGGGAATTGTAGAAAGCAAGCAGTGGGAAGCACATCCTGTGGAGATCTTTCTTGGCTTCACGTTGGAAATGGAAATTAATATTTTGGTCTTTTCACTTCAACCCTGCAATAGAAGGAGAAATGAGTCAGCATAAATTTAATATACACTAAGCAATTCCCACCAGTCCCTCAGAGGAAGAATAATGCTGCTCACCCATCAGCTTCCATCTTCTTCCTCTTCTCAATGATCTGCAAAAAGAACAGTTAGAGTCAATAGTTATGCTGCCAGTCTAAGCTCACCTGAGGCCCAAGTCTGACCTCTCTCCTACTTCCATGACTCTCCAACCCCCGCCTGTTCCCGGATCTGTGGACCATTGTCTCCTCCCAGCTGAAGCCTTCCCACTGGAAAAGTAGTCCCACGTACTGCACTAATCTTTTTCCACTGGCGATCAAGTTCTGCCTTGTCGTTGGTTTCCTTGAAGCGCCTGGTTTTCCGTCCTTCAGACATCTTGATGCCATATTGGAATGCAGCCCTGAGACAAAAAAGGACAGTTGGGCAAGAAGGCATCAGAGGTTGCATAGTAATAGCAAGGTGTTCCCAGAGGACCCTATGAGCAGAGAATCTATTTGGAAATGTCTCAGCCAGACTACACCCTCTACCCTGATGCAGGCTAGTCCATCCATCACCTTTCTTCTCACTCCCTGACCATATTTAGTACCAACTCACTTGGGCAAAGCCTCCTTGTTGTTCATATACTCGCTGTATTCCTCCTGGGTATCAAAGTCCCAGCGGCCTAAGGGACCCTTCTTGTTACCCTGTTGAAAGACAGATTAGAAGACAGGGAAGGAAGAGATATCAGTGGAAATGGAATTTTAACCCTTGAATAAAGCCAGGCTCTCCCACAATTCCAGATTTCATCAGTCATAAATCCAACCCTAATAAATACTAAATGATTACTATGTACTTACTATATGCCAGGCATCACTCTGAACACCTATCTCATTTCTCTCAAAAACTCTATTAAGAGAACATACATTTCTTTCCATTTTCCTGATGACAAAACTGAGGCATAAGTGGTAAAATAAGTTGGCATAGTCATAGACATTAAGAGTTTGCTGGGTTTTGTTTTCGTTTTCATTTTAAGATTTGGAGGAAAATGGAACAGCTGGCTTGGACAAAAATCAGTTATTTTTTTTTAATTCGGTTTTCTAAAGATTCTAATTCCCTCAGCCCTTTCTACTTATGTATTTGAGGCTTGCTTACCGCCTAGGATAGAAATGAAAGCCAGGCACTTTGTAGAAAATAAAGAGAAATATATTTTGGCCCTGTCTCATTTGATTTTGTATAGACACTTTAAAATAGTGAAGCTGCGCATGACCCCACAGTGCTGCTGATCCCATTACTGCAGCTGAGGGAAGGTGACGACCAGAAAATAAGACACAGATCTTTTGGGAGTGAGTAAAGGGACATGTACTGAAGAGTAATTGCCCGAGAGCCCCCACCCATCCTTCCAACTCCACACCTGGTCCATTTTGCTATAATCCACCTCCTCGTCACTGTCTACAGCCATGTCATCCATCCTAAAGAGAAGCGACAGTTAAACAGATGGTGCAGACCAAGACTCCCATGTTTCATCCGGAAACCTACCCAAGTAAGAGGCTATATGCCTAGGAAGGACCATCCCCCTACATCTCCCACTGAGAGTCTAATAGTACATCCAAGTAAGAAGTACCCCTGGGTCTCAGAAAATCAAATTTCCACCTCATCCCCCACCCCACTTGTTCTCCAATCATTCCAGCCTCCCTTCTTTAGCAGAGTCTCACATACGTGGCCGGGTAGCACTCGGCATAACTGTTGGACATGCCAAAGAAATCTCCCAGCTGCTTCTTGTCTTCTGGCTTCTTTAGCATAAGTTAAGTTAAAGAAAATTTTAAAAAAGGAAAATAGAAAATAATTCTGCCTATAGCATAAAAGCTTCAAGGAAGGACCAAGGGCTAGAAGCCCAACATGAAAACTCCAAGGAGAGGACTGTAGACTTGAATGGGTCTTCTGAGAAAGAGGAAAGTCATAATGACTTCATCCCTGTGAAAATTCAACATAAAAGGGAAGGAGCAGGGTTGTGGGCAAGCAGGCACCTGGAAAAATAACAATTCTCTAGAACCCAGAAACATATTGAAATAAAGGATATGATTCAGTGCCTTCCCAGCCAGCAGAACCAGCAAATTTTTCATTGATTGATTTGATCAACTCCTTGGCAGATCCAGGTCCTGGGGGAAAAAGAACTCTATTAAGACAATGAAACGAGGAATTTACAGTCTCTTCCCTATAACACACTTCCAAACTGTAGTTTTTTGTTTTGTTTTGTTTTTTTGTTGTTTTATTTTTGCGAGGCAACCCTTGGTTGACCTTACAGATTGCAAGGACTATGTCAGCTTACAATCCCTAACATTTTTAATTTTTAAGCCTACAGCACCTGGTCTTCCCTAACATTTTTAATTTTAAGCCTACAGCACCCGGTCTTCCTAGGTGGTCTCCCATCTAAGTACTACCCAGGTCCGACTCTGCTTAGCTTCCAAAACGTATTTTTCATAAAAACATTTTTTAAAGCAACAGAACGCTTTTAGCTAACCAAA